CCCAGCTCCCTGAGGTTGGTGTCCACTTGGAATCAAGTCCACTGTCCACATGAGGACCTTCCCCGGGCGCGTCTACTTGTGGTGTCACTCATGTTAAGCTGCTTACTCTCCTTCCATCTGGGGAGTCCCAAGCCTTGTTTGAAGAGACCGCGGCATTCTAACCACACCTGAGATCCTTTCTATTGAGTTTGAGCAGAGAAAAAAAGAGAGAGCAGGACTACAGGAGAGCCGACCTTCAGTCCCTTATCCCAGTGCCTTGAACTAGAGGGCAAAGGGCAAAGGAAGAGTCGTCTGCTTTTTCCTTTGCCTTTCACAGGGGCAAGCGTCAGCTCAAAGCAGCTCAGGGCTGGGGTCACACACGGCAATCCATCACGAACCAGCTAGGTCACTGAGAGAGCGGGGCAACATGCCAGGCATGGACTCAGAAATTCAGCTTCAAGAGAAGTGACGATAATCCCTCCGGCACACGGAGGGGACCTGGACTTGGAACCACACACACCTGAGCTCTCTCCTCAGCACCTGCCTGCTGGTGGTCTCCAGCACTGTTTATTCGCTCTCGGCATCTCGATTTTCTCATCTTTTAATTGGCAGAGGGTATGTGCACTTGCCAGAGACAGAGAGACAGAGAAAGAGAGGGAAAGCACTCCCCCCTATGGGGTATGGTCATGCTGTAAACCTTCTCCATTTTTCCGTTCTGTCGGGAATTTGGGCACGTGTGTGTAAATGCGCACACACACAGTATGTTTATCAAGCCACTGGGGCTGCGATTCAAACTGCTGTCGGTTAAGTGGGATCCAGCTCCCTTAACCACTAGGCTAAGGGGCATGTTCAGTGTCCTCATCTTTAAGAGTAGGATAAATTCACTTACTTATGACAAGGCTGCTGGGATCAGGATGACTACTGCCTGAATGAATGAGCTAACGTGTACGTATGACATCTACCTCAAGGCGTGGCACACACTGGACATTTGAAAACCACTGGTCCTTTCTCCTCGGCCCCAAGTTCCAGCTGGTGTGCTGCTTTGCTGCATGGTCTCGGGTGGGCTGGTTGTAGCTCTACAGAGTACACATGCCTGTGCAGACACCCATGCGTGGGCTCTGTGGTCAAGGAGTTACTGACTACAGTCAGAGAAAACATAGTTACAAAGGCACCATCTACTTTGGACCAGGGAGGGAGGGGTCTGCAAAGATGCCAGATCAGCTAAAGCCCCCCTGGGCTCCCCCTCCCCTGCGTCTGCTGTGGTCTCATGTATAGTGCCTTATGCATGCTACCCTCTCCCACCAAAGCCCATGACATATGACATCCTCCGATGCTGGTAGATAAACACCCGGGTCGGTTCTCCTGAAGGGATGTCCATTCTGCCCTCAGTCTTGGTTTAGCTGCTGAAATCCAAGGACAGCACATACCCAGTTGCATTTTTTAAATTCCTGTCTGAGTGACAAGTGAGGGCTAGGGAGGGAGGGCTGAGATGGCAGGAGGGAGCGGCATCTGTTCCTTCCCTCCAGCTCTCCCTTCAGTGTCTGCATTTACATCCAATACAGACATCAGTCTGGATCCGACTGCGATTCCAGGCAGGCTTCTACAGGCTGGAGGAGATGCGAAAATACAGGAGGCCTGGAGGAGGGGAGGTGGGAGCAAAAACAGGGGGGCAACAGACAGGGAAGATTTTTTTCCTCCAAGTTCTAAGATGCACCATTTGTCCAGAAGTCTGGCTGCAAAGTGCTGGCAGCTCTTCGTGCGCTGGCTCTGGAGGTGTGGAGAGCTTTGTGTCTACGTCCTGGACAGGCCTCCCTCTGCTACAGTCTGTGGTCCTCTTATAAAAACAGAAACCCAGAGGGTGACATGCTCTCTTAAACCTAAAAGCCCAGCCTCTGGTAAAAGGTGGGATTAGGGGGGCAGCAGAAAAGGCCAAGAGGCACCTGCATCACTTCAGCAGAAAGGAGGAAGCTAGCAGAAGCTACGAGGGGAACAGCTTTTACTGTGGCCACTCTCATCCCCACACCCACCCCTGCAGGCCATAGTGCCCACAGGTAAAAGTGGCTAAGAACGGGTGCTGCCTTTGGGGCTTGGAGTAGATTTGGTGGCAGGAGAAGGGGGTGAGGGTGCGGAAGAAAAACAGGCAGTTCTAGTGAAACTCCACGGGGCCCCCTCCTCCCCCATCCACTCCCAGAGAAGTGTCCAGGGACCACATTGTCTGCTGTCCACAGTGGCTTATTGCCTGATTCTGGAGAGGAGGCTTGGCGTCTCGCTGACAGGCGTGGGCCTTAGCAGTGTGAGCGAAATTACCCAGTGGATCCATTTGAGAAACCAAGGCCTGGGGAAGCTCAGTGGTTTCTCTGCCTTGGGCCAGAGAGCAGGTGCATGCTCCCAGCCACCTGAAATGACAGTGCACCGAAGCTGAGGTTGGGGAGGAGGGAAGCCTAAGCCTGAAGCCCCAGTGCAGGAAGGTGCCTCACGCTGAGGTGGGAGGAGAGAGAGGGGGTGTGGCTCAGGAACAGATGCCTGGGGTGGCTCCAGATGGCAGTGGCCTCCAAACAAAGGGAGAAGAGCCAGAGGGAAGGACAGAGAGATGGGAGAGGAGGGCTGGCTTCTTGGAGGCTCCAAGCTGGAGCTACAAAGTTCCATTCACACCTGGAACCTGGCCACTTCCTCTCAGAACAGGGATGATGGGTTTCCATGACACTTGGAACAAGTCACCCTAACCCTAACCCTAAAAAACACTCCAGCCCCAAGCTTAAATGGTCACCTGTGCGGGTCCCAGAGCCAGACGGCCCAGATTCTAACCCAGGCACTGGTATCTTCTTGTGCCTGTCTCTCCTGTCATCAGTAAAATGTGGGTAAAAAGGGCTGATGTGAGGAGGAACACACAGGGCCTGCACATCGAGGACCCCATGGTGCTGCGCATGGGCGCACTCAGTGCTGGTTACGGAGAGCGAGGCCTCGGCACTGCAGCAGCCTGGCTCCGCACCCCGGCTCCGCACCCCGTCTCCCAGACTGCCTGTTCCTGCAGCCGCCACATGCCCTGCTTGCATGGCTCCTCCGCAATTTTTCTTTTCCTCTTTAGGTTCTCTGTGTCTGGGAGGGCTTTGGTAGCTATCCCTCCTTTGTGATGTGTGGGTGCTGCAGTGTTGCGTCACAGCAAGGTAAGCAGCCCATGTCTGGGGGATCGGACTTCCCGTAGGGGCTCCTTAGCTAGTCCGTTTGGTGGAACTTGGGGAAAATAACTTTATGGAACCTCAGTTTATTTCTCGACGCAGCAGGAACAGTGACACCAGCCTTGCTCATACTGCAACATTGTCATGCGCGCCAAATGCCACAATGCATGGAAACGGATGCATTATGTAAAGGGCACAGCTCTGAACAGAACCGGTCTGCTTGGCCTCCAAATGTCCGGCAGTGTGAGGCAGAACGAGCTAGCTCTGGCTTCAGATGGGAGGCTGGAGTGTTACTTTACGATCATCCAGAGTCATGGGTGGGCAGTGATGTCGTTACCTACAGAAAAGGCAGACCCCAGGCTCCTTAGGTGGAGACCTGATATGCAGCGTAGCATGCACGTGCCCCAGGAGGGCTGCAGAAGAACTTCGGTGGGACGGGGACAAAGAGTAGAGAGGGTGTATGAAATGTGCCAAGAGAAGGGACATAGAGACACAAAGCTGGACGAACTCCCAGATTCTGTCACAGACCTCGGGATCTGTCCCCGTGCAGTTTGACATAGACCATGCCCATTAAGTAGACCGGGTATACCACCATTGTAATTGGAGTCCTCCCCATACGGAAACACACAAGAATTGGCGCCCTGGGCCCCAGGCACTGTCAGTATGTTTATGTTCAATATTTAATAACAATGGCAGGATAAAAAAACCCTGAGGTTAGATGCACGGTTAGATGCACGTCCCAGATGGCCCCTGAAACCCGACACTGTTCCAGGCAAGCTGTAACCCTGAAAGAGCCCACACTCAAACGCTTTGGTAAAAGTAGATCTGAGCTGCTGTTGGCATGGAAATAACCACCACCTCCATTCACTGGGCGCTTGCTAGATGCCAGGCACGCGCTTAACCTTTACAGCATGCTGTCCGCTACTGTCCTCGCCGCGGAAGCTGAACACTGAGACCTAGAGCAGCTGAGACTTTCCAAAGGTCACGAAGCATGAGCAGCTGGATTTTCGTCTAGTTTGTTTATCGGCATGCTCTGCTCCCACCTTTCAACTCCCTCCCTGCTGCCTTCTAGGCCCACACTTAACACTTCAGGGGAGGACAGAAGTCACCTGGGGGGAGCTGGAGCCAGGAAGGAAAACTGCTGAGGCTAAGATGCCCAAACAAAGGGAATAAGATCCTTCTCTGCTCTGGCCCCAGGGCAGACTCCCCCAGCCCAGCAGCCTGCAGGTGGCCAGCTTGGGATCCACTGCCCATCACCCTCGGCTAGTGCTGCGGCCTTGCCTGGGAGGAAAACAGGTGCTGCTGAGAACAGCAGGGAATGTTAACCCAGGCCAGAACAATGCAGGCCCTGGACATGGGGCGTGGCTGTAGGGCTGTGGGCCTTGGCCACGTACTGTGCCCTGGACAGCTGTCCACCTGCCAGGGCCCAGTGCCCCGCCCAGAGCAGGGGTTCTCTGGCTGTGCCCTATATGCCAGGCTGTCGCTCAGAAGGCTCAGGGGTTATAGAGGCCCAAGATGGGAGGATACAGGTCAGAAACAAAGCTGCTTCCACATTTTTCAATTTAGGTGTTCAGTGGGGTCAACAGCGACATGCTGGCTGCACCTGGTGGGAGGAGCACTCATTCCCCCAGCCCAGCTTCCTTGCAGGAGAGCTGTGGAAAGCGGCTCTGTGCCAGACCCTGGGCTTCTGTCTCTGGCGAGAAGAGGAAGGAGACAACTCCCCCAGAAGGTTCCTCATGCCAGGCAAAAGCCTTTTCTCATCAAAGAGAAAGGGCAGTGGATAAGCACTTACCTCCACCCCCACTCCCAGCACTCCGACTCTGCCTGGGCCCAAGTCCTACTCACCTTCTCTGCCTCATTCAGCCTCCTCCTTGCAGCACCAGAGGAGGCTCCGCTGCAGCCTGCAGAGGGAGGGACGGCTCCAGGGTCCCAAATGGCACATAAGTCAATCAACCTGTCTCAAAGCAAGCACAAAGGAGAACCCTGGGGTTACTCTAGGAACGGGAAAATAAAAAAGGCCTTTGTGGTTTGCCACTCGTTCATTCACTGGGGAAACTACATCTTTGTTCACATCCATCTGTAAATATTGCAAAGCATCCCAGCATCTCAGTTCAAGGAAATTTAAAGCAATCTGCAAGGGACAGGCAGATTCTGCAAGGATGATTGTACCTCTCATTCACCCATTTTTTAAAGGAAAAAAAGTTTATTTATTTATTTCTTCCATGACAGAGAAAATGTGGAGGGGAGAGAGGCACTCCTTACACGTCTTCACCCCCAGTTTCAGCTGGCTCGGAGCATCGGGAGCACGTACCCAGCCTGCTTAGGGAAGTCCCAGGACTTGAACCCAGGTCCTTTTCCATGTGGGCCCAGTTGCTTTATAGCTGCACCATCACCCCACACCTCTATAAGATTACTGTTTGTGGGGACCAGCAGTTGGCATAATGGCTATGTTGCTGGACGCCCATGTAGTCGACTATAGTTCGAGTCCTGGACCCGGTGGCTTAAACTCATGCTGGGCACATGTGCCCAAGATCCTGAGAGAAGAATGGAGGAGAAGGGATTGCAGTGTGGCCATCCCCTCTGGGGGGGTGATTTCTAGCTTTTTGTCTCTTCGTCTCTCTCTGTCTTTCTGGCCAGTGCATACGCCCTATAGCAAAAACCTCTCAAAAAAAAAAAAAAAAAGATGACTGCTTGGTTGAGTCAGCTGGAGCAGTGGGTGGTGCGCTGGACTGCAGTTCCAGAAGCTACATGGCCTGCTGCAGATTAGCTCCCCAGCCTGGCTGACCTGAAACATGCCAGGTGTCCAGGAGCCTAAGGTAGGCCAGAGCAAAGAGACTGACTCAGACCCATCGAGGGAGCGCTGGTCTCGTCCTCTCATGCACACACATACGTTGTCAATCAAAAATTTAAAATATCTATTTTTAAAATAAAAAAACACAATGTTTTCTTTAAGATGTTTTTAAATTAATTAAAAATAAATAATTATTTTTTGCCATAGGGTGTGTGTGCACACCAGAGAGAAAAAGACAAAGAGAGAAAGTGAGAGATCAACCCCTACGGGGGATGGCCACCTCACAATCCCTTCTCCTTCAGTCTCCTCTTGGGATATTGGGCACACACACACACACACACACACACACACACACACGGAATGATACTCAAGCCACAGGTCTGGAACTTGAACTGTGATTGGCCACGTGGGAACCTAGTACCTTACCCACCACACCAAATGCTGGCCCTCCCAGATAATCATTTCTTTGTGCCCTGACACCACAGTCCAATTGCCGATTCCCTGTCCAGCTAAAGGAGTTAAACCGTTTCTTGAGAAGCCTCTCCTACCCACAAGGGAAAATTTACCCATAATTATCTCATTAATTTTCTTAACTTCCTTAGGAGAGCTATGATGTTTATCTTCCCTATCAACAGATAAGCCAACCAAGATCATCATAAATAAATCTATAACACACTAAAAAGAGATCTAATTTGGGGGTCAGGAGTCATGAATTTTAAGTTCTAGCTGGATCTATCATTTAGAGTAGATCACTTCCCTGTCTGTGTCTCAGTTTCTTCGTCTGTAAAATGGGGAGAAGGTGTGGTCGAGTGGGTTGCACCACTGGGCCATCAGTTAGCATGGGCGAGGGGTGTTCAAGTCCAGCTCCAGTTCTTTTCAGCAATCATATAACCTTTCTCAATAGAGAAAATATGAGAGGTCTTCAAAAGTTCACAGAAATGCATCTTGAGAAAACAACTATGTATGGATTTCAACTTTTTTTTTTTTTTTTTTTGCACCAAAATAAACTTGTAGTTTAATTCCACGACATTTTGGAAGTCTCTTTGTATATCCCATTTCATGATTTGTTTTAATATTAAAATGTGTCTTCAAGAAATGGTAAAATCCACCCTGAAGAGAGGAATGTGGCGATATCCACCTAAATAAGTACACATAAATTTACTCTTTGGTCCAATGATTCCAGTTTTAAAAATCTATTTGAAGGGCCAGTGAGTGGCGTGGTGGTTAAGCGTGCTGGACTCCCCCATAGCTGACAGTGGTTTGAATCCCAGACCTGGCAGCTTACTTTCTCACTGTCTTTCTCTCTCTTTCTCTTATCTGTCTCTCTCTGGTCAAAGTAAAAACAAATAAACAAATAAATAAATTTAAGTAAATAATTCTTATAAAAAAAGGAATCTATTCGAAATATATCCTACATGCCTCTGTGGGGTCGCTAAGATTCTTGTTAAATGAAAAAATCATGATAGGAAAAAGTGTTTAATATGTTACCATTTATTTAAGAGGAGAACTGTACAAAAATTACACATGCATTTGCTTATATTTTTAAAGAGACAAGAGAAAGGCAAAGTATAAAATATACATTAAGGCCCAGTTGCAGTGGCACACAGACAGTGCCACTGCTCGGGAGGCTGGAAGTCACGTGGGAGGTCCAGGTTTGGTTCTTGGCCCAACTTGCACGGGTATAGTTACATGGTCTGGAACCCCAGCTAACTGGGAAGCTAGGGCAGGAGGACCACAACACGGAGACTCTGTCAAAATGCCTGTCTCTGTCTCTCTCATATATGAAAAATAAATAAGTCTATAAATAAAAAGCATTTAAAGGATCTACAGGGAGGGGAAGGAATGGGGTAGAGAAGACAGAGACAGAAGCTGGGTCTTGGATATACTTTTGCTTTGTGGATTTGCCTTGGAATAGGTAAATATTTGAAATAATAATAAAGTGCATTTAAAGATTTAAAAGAAGTCCCTAAAAATTAAAATAAAATGAAACAAATGAACCTATGAGTTTAGTTGATTCACATACTATGCATAGGAAATTAAGACATGGTCATTTAATTGTATATCTTTAGTCCAATAATCTTAAAGTTGATAAAAACTGCCCTATTCCCCTACCCGCAAGGAATCCCAAAATGTTTTCTTTTCTTTTTATTTGTTTCTTTTTTGAGTTTGTTAGAGGGCATGCATGCTTGTTGGAAAGAGACAGAACAGGGGTGTGGGGGTAAGGGGATGGAAGGAGAGTAAGAAAGCACTCCCAGGCCCAGCAGACGGCGTGATGCTTACATTGCTGGGCTCTCACACGGTCTACCATGGTTTGAGTCCCAGACCAGCAGCTTAAACCTCACGTCAGCCACGTGTGAGTGCGTGCCCAAAATCCTGAGAGGAGACTGGAGGAGAACGGATTGCGGCGTGGCCATCCCCCTGGGGGTGATTTCTCACTTTCTCTCTTTGTCTCTCAGGTGAGTGCACACGCCTTATAGTAAAAATATCTCTCTTTAAACAAGAGAGAAAGAAAAGAAAAAAGAAAGAAAAGAAAGAAAGAGAGAGAGAGAAAGGAAGGAAAGAAAGTGCTCCCGTGGAGGATGGTCATGCCACAATCCCTTCTCCTCCACCTCTCCCCTTGGGATTTTGGGCATGCACGCACTCATACCCAATGTGTTTCTCAGGCCACTGGGTCCAGGACTCTAATTGTACACTAGCCATGTGGGATCCAGCTGCCTTAACCTCCATGCCACAGGATGGCCCCCATTGTTTTCAATAGCCATATTACTGTTGGTACCATGATATTATTATTATTATTCTGAGATCTTCACACGTTTATTGTGGAATAAATCAAATAGGCAACAATATTGGTGCTGCTGGGAAGGAAGGTTGTCTGGTTAAAGGGAGATACAACTCTAAGGTGGATGAGAGTCGGCAAAAATTCTGTGTTAATTGTGTACCAGGAGTGTCAGTATGAACTCCATATACTTCCTCATAATCACACACACACGTGTGCACACGCACTCATTTCCTTCCGCTGTTCCTGACTCTGCCGGTGCTTAGTCGTTCAATTCTAACAGCAATCTGACATGACAGGTAATACAGACACTATTATACCCCTTTTACCTGAGGAAACAGGAGTGAAGAGTCCATCGAGTTGGGGTTCAAACCCCATGTTCTTAGCCCAAAGGCCTGCTATTCTACAGTTGCCTCTTCAATATCCTCATGTACATGCCTGTTGTTAAACCTGCCTATGTGAGAGTATTGGGGGCTACCGTGCCATAATGTTCAGGAAAGTACTTGGAAAACACATCTTTGCACAAATATTTTACTACCATTTGAAAGTTGGAGAGCAGATCTGCCCTGTGGGATTGCTGAGAGTGTGACTTAAAGATGGACAGATATATAAACAGATGAACAGACAGGAGAGGCGTCCTTAGAGATGAGTGTGATTACACAATCACCACTCACGCTTTCATTACCATTCATAGGACTTCAGGGTTAACTAAAAAGTGAGACTTGGAATCCAGACTTTCCATCTGACTCAGGGAGAGGAAGATTCCAGAAAGGACACCTGATAAGCCCAGGAGGAGTAGGAAGGAAGAAGACACCTGATATCTTGCAGACTGCAAGAAAAGTGGTTCTGGCACCGACTCCAGGTCACAGACGGGTGCAGATCATGGCCAGGATGCTGGGTGCCTCTGGCAAGTCCTCGGGATTCCAGAAGGTCAGAAGCAACCAGGCAGCAGCCACCTGCCGGGTTTCTCTGACTGAGTCTGGGCTGGTGGGAGCAGGGCAGGTGTGGAAGATGCTCCCTAGCAGTAAGAGGAGGGTCAAACACGTCAAACTGGTGGCGGGAGAAAGTATTAGCAGCTCTTTCTCAGCATTTGCAGTTTTATTTTTATTTTTGCCATAGGATGCATGCCCTCACCACAGAGAGACAGAGAAAGACAGTGAGAGAGAAAGTGAGAAGGCACCCCCCAGGGAGTTGGCCATGCAACAATCCCTTCTCCTCCATTCTCCTCCTGGGATTTTGGGCACGCACTCACATGCACCTGGTGTGATTTTAAGCTCCAGGTCTGGGACTCGAACTGTGGTTGGCTCTATGAGAGTTCAGTTCCTTAACCACCATACCACCTGCTGGTCCTTCTTTACTTTTTAACATCTGCTTGGAGATTCTCCAC